TCATCTTCACAAGAAACAGCCCCTTAGAGGTGAGAGGGGTGGAGAGGCTTGGCAAGGTTGCAGGCTGCATGTGGTCTTGACTATATTTGAATCCACATCTTATCTGATTCCAAAATGCATACTTGGTTTTCTGGACTCTGCTTTCATCCACCAAGAGCCAGAAAGTCTCAAAAGATAGAGGGTCCAAATTCCTCATACAGTCTTCCGGTCCATAGTGAGTCATCTAGAGAGTCCTGTGCCCTTTGGGGTTCAGGAATAGCTGGCAGGAAGGCTCTCTACACAGATATTAATGTCCCCATGTCCTGTTCTTGTCTTTCTAGGCGTGCGGGTAGTTCAGATGAAGAACTTCCATCATCTTCTGTTTTCACTATAACTCAATCATGATTTCTGCTGAGCTCTTGTCTGCCCAACACTGTGCCCTAGGGAGACTGTCTTTTTTAAGTATCTTTGGGAGTCTGACTTTACAGATGGTCCCTTTGAGTCTCAGGAGGCATTTGCTATTTTTAATTTTTATTTGTTTAATTTTGCTCTACAGGGATGTCCCTCTACGACTGTGTTGCATCTCCAGCCCATTTTCTTTTTTTATTTTGAGACAGGGTCTTGCTAAGTTTCCCAGGTTGGCCTCAAACTTGTGTGCACCACCACACCCAACTGCATTTTTGACTCTTAACTTACTAGCCGTTTGATCCTGGAGCAAATCATTTACCATTCATAGCATAAGATCTCCGCTCCTTCCCCTGGCCTTGCAGGACATTGGCTGTCCTCTCCCTCCATCTCTAACCTTGACTTAAACACTCTGATTCTCTCACTTCAGGCCACCTTGCCAAGCTCGCTCCTGTCCTCAGCCCTTGGTACTTGCTGCATGTTCTGCCCAGACTGCTCTTCACCCAGAGCTGGGCTTGACTGGCTCCTACCTGCCATTCAGGTCTCAGATTGCTGTCTGCCCTTCAAGAGGCTGCCCTCCCTGTGTGCACAGCAGCCCCTCTCTGAGTCACAGTCAAAAGGTGCTCTAGTGTTTCCATGGCTTGTATAGCATGTGCTTTCCATATGTCTCCCCACTTTATGCCCCCATGAGGAATGCCCGTTTCGCCAAATTCTCTTCTCCATGCACCTAAATGGTACCCATCACATGGCACTCAGGCCTGGCTTCACCCATAAGGGAAGGGATACATGAATGAATGAATGAATGGAAGGTGCCACACACTGAGGGTGCTTCTGGCTGCAGGGCTGGGGGTGCAGGGAGAACTTTAGAGTCTACTGTCCCCGATTGGCAGGGACCATCAGAGGGGACCAGCATTTAAGGGTTCTGTTGCCATTTCTGCTGTCTCCAGCCCTGCACTTTTCCTCCTGGCCTTCCCTCCACCTGGCCTGCCCCCTACATCTGCCTCTGACCGGAACCTCACTGAACACCACCTGCTTCAGATTCTCCCTCAATTCCATTGGAAGAATTTGCTCCCCCCTCTGAGTTCTGCAGACTTCTTGCTGTATCTCTGTGTGGCATAAACGCCTGTCTCTGGACTGTAAGGAGCTTGAGGACAGAACCTTTGTATTCCTTTCGGGAACCCCTGGCACAGAGCAAGTGGTCCACAGACTTCTGGAGAGGAAGGATGGCGGAAGGCTTGGGAGGGGGTCACAATGGGGTAACACCCTGCCTCCGTGAACAGCCTCAGCCAGAGACCCCAAGACTAAGTTTCATTCTAGACTTTTATTTTTTTTTTTCTAGCTGGAAGTTTAAGCAAATAGCTTTACCACCCTGTGCCTCGGTTTACATGTCTGTAAAACGGGAGATAACAGTAGTAACTCCACTTATGTGGCAATAGTCACACTGAGGCTTTTGTGAGAAATAAGTGAGCTAATACTTTGAGGTGCCTGGCCCAATGCCTAGCACATCAAATATACTCAATAAATGTCAACTATTATTCTGGATGCAGGTCTGAGCCTAGTGTGGGGTTTCTCCTTCCCACATTGGGGGCCAAAGCCTTAGTCTAGAGACTCATTATAGAAAGCAGAGATTCAATGGAAATTCAGAAAAGGGTTCCCTTTGCATTTCTTCATACCTTCATTTCTTCCCTCAAGAAGTATTTTCTGAGCATCTGCTCTGTGACCCTGGGATTCTGCCCAGGTCGAGATGAGGCCACTGCCCGCCTGGGGCCTACATTCTAGTGCAGGAAGTCAGAGGATAAGCAGAAAAGGAAACCAAAAGATTGTTTCAGATAGTGAATGTTCTATGACAAAAAACAGGGGTATGTAATAAAGAGTGGCTGGAAGATCGGAGAGGTTTTCTGAGATGGTCTTAAGTGGAGGCATCTGGGAGAATAGTCCAGGCGGGGCGGAGCAATCTGAGGGGCAGAAAGAAGACTAGATGGCTAGACCTGGAGGTGGAATGTAGGAGGTAGGGCATGGAGTCTAAGGGGTTGGCAGGGGGCAGAGCCTCAGGAAGGTGCTTATTCTGAGAGGTTTGGATTTAATTCCAAGTTTGATGGGAAGCCCACTTGGGGTTGTAGGGTTAGTGACATGATCTTAGGCTTTGAGATCATCCTGACTGCTGGGTGAAGAATGGTCCAGGCAGGGGTAGGACAGGTGAGAAATGACAACATCTCCACCCTGGGATTCCATTCAGAGTACCCATGTCCCCAACTTATGATGGTTCAATTTAATGATTTTCCACTCAGGTTGGTGCAAAATTGACATATATTTGGCAGAAACCGTGCTGGAAGAATTGAATTTTGGTCTTTCCTAGGCTAGCAACATGTGGTCAGGTCCCCTTGGGTGATACAGGGCAGTGTCAGTGAGACATCGCTGCCAGTCAGCCACACAGTTATGAGGGTGTACACCCCTGTTCCACGGTGTCGCTAAGCCAGGATGGGTTGTAGGTTGGGTTCATGAAGTGCGTTTTCAGCTTGGCAATAGTTCAGCCTAGGTGGAGTTTATTGGAGGTTACCACATCATAAAGTCGGGTGCATCTGTGGTGTTTTGGGGACAGTGGGTACACAGGGCCTGCTGGTGTGTGTGGACATGGATGGTGAGCCCTCTAGGGTGACTCAAATGAATGAGATGAAATTATCACTTCTGGGGGTGGGGGGGGGGAGACAGGGACCCTGAGTTTTTGGCTCAGCACAATGAAGGAGCAGGTTGAATCATTTCTTGGTAAGACTGAGGGAAGACCCTGCTGGAGAAGATGGGCACTCAGGGTTTTGATCTGGATGTGGAGACGTGTAGGCTACTTACAGAAAAAATATTCAAGTGGAGAAGCCATCAGGGTTAGTTGAAGAATACAAATGTACAGACCAGGGACTCAGCATAGAGATGCTTTTAAAAGCATGTGAGACACCATAAGGTCACCTGGGGGAGGGGGGAGGGGGAGGGGAAGGGGAGGGGCTGGAGGGGACCCTGGGAAACCTCAAGCCTCCAGCATCAGATGGAGGAGGAGCCAGGAAAGGTGAAAGGAAAACCAGAAGGTGTCACAGAAGCCCAGCGATGACAGTGGCAAAAAGAAGGGTGACTGGCTATGATGGAAGCTGCTAAAGGGTAGAGAAAGGTGCAGATGGACTATGGGGTTTGTTTGGTGCCATGGAAGCTGGTGGGGACCTGGGTCTCTGGAGCTGGGAGCTAGTCAATGAAGAAAGTGCAGGTGTGGTGTAGGCAGGGTCTTAGGGTTTGCTGTTGTGAGAGAGAAGAGAGGAAGGAGTGTCTGGAGATGGGATGAGGGAGGGGTCTTGTCTGTTCAAGATGAGAGATATTATGGGATGTTTGTGTGCTGATGGGAGAGAGAGAGATCAGGCGGCGGGGGAGAAATTGACCATGCAGGGGAGACAGGATAATTGTAGGAGCAAAATCTTTGCAAGTGGGTTCCCAGAGCCCCCTCAGAATTAGGACAGGGTAGGCAGTGTCTGGGCCAGCTGTGGGTGGCAGGACCAGCTATACTAAAGGGACAGCTGGGCCTCCTAACACACTGCATTCCCACCAAAAGGCCTGGTTTCTAGCACAGGTTCAGGTTTTCCTGTGGGACCTTGGGAAAATTACTGGATCTTTCTGGGTTGTGCTTCCCCTAGGGTGGTGATGGTGGGGTTATCACACTTGCCTATTTGAAAAATGCATCGGATTGATTCCCAACAGAGACATCACTGGCTTTGACCTGAGAGGAAGTTCGTCTCATAGGTCAGCAGGCTAATTTTAGATTCATAATTCTGCATTTCTTTCCCTACAGAGGAACTCGAAAGGGTACAAAAACCTGGCTCCATGAAACCAGGATCTGTCCTGGGACTTTTGAGTAAATGACTCTACTTTCCCCATCTGTAAAATGGGAAGGTGGGACTTGCTTCATAAAATGGGGACTGGGGTTAGTAGGTACAGGGTGCAGGCCATGAGGTGGGGGCTCAAATGAATGAGATGAAATTATCACTTCTGCTGGGGCTGGGGGAGGAGGCAGGGACCCTGTGCCCCGACTGTGTGCATTGACAGGGGTTCCCCTCTTCCCATTCCCCTCCTCAGCAGACCTAGCCCTTGAGGTTATAGGTCAACTTCTCTTTTTATTTACACCTGTGAAGGCACAGACTACCTGAGGCCAGCTTTCTCCTACTTTCCTTCCTTCCCTCCCAAACCTAGCCACCGATCTCCCTTTTCCTGTCCTCCACACCCACCCCCTGCCCCCAAAGAGCCCAGTGCAGGGACTTGGGTGGGCACGTGGTAGGCAGATGGACTCCATCGGCCTCCTCCTGCATCTCCTTTACAGACAGAATTGGCTTCCTGTTCCCCAAAGCAGCAGATTTCAAATGCACCTGATTGATTCACAGGGGACTTCTACTTCTGGGTACCAAGCAAAAGCCCCCTTTGACCTCTTGGACATCAGCCCTCAGGAGGACCAGGAGGTTGTAATGACACTTCCAGGGTAGAGGAGATGAGGAGGCTATGCTGGGTCCTAAGGATGTCCCACCCTGGCCCAGACAGACCCTCCCCTGCCTCCCCTGGAGCTTTCTGTGCCCAGAACCCCAAGTCCTTACCTTACTGGGAACGAGGATGGGCAGAGGCAGCAGAAGGATGGGCAGAAGCAACACAATCAGATAGGAGCGATAGGCCCACAGGCCCTGCCAGCAGGTGGCCATGGTGTGGACCAACTGGAGCTGCCAGAGCCACAGTCTCCAGGAGCCAAGGAACTGAAGGACCAAACAGAAGGCAGAGCCAGTAGGTGGCCCCGGGGCAGGCTTATATAAAGCCAGTTGAGTGTTAACCATTGACCTACCCTGGCAATCACAGTGTTTTTGGAGCCAGGAGGTAGGAGTAAGGAGGAGGGACTTACTGGAGGTGGAAAGATCAGGAAGACTTTGCAAAGACAGGGAGGGGGAAAGGCCAAGGAATAAAAGCTTCAGATTCCTTCTAGAACTTAAGTCCAGAGTTGGCTTCTGTTTATAGAAGCTGCCGAGGGCTGTCACTGAGAAGGAAGGGTGCTTGGAGAGTCTCCAGCAAGAACCCAAGTCCTCCCGGCCCAGCCTCCCTTTCTTCCCCAAAAGCCAATTCTCAGCTGAGCAATTGACACAGGCCTGGAGTGGAGTCCCTCAGACCCACCTACGGAGGCACCCTGCCCTCCTGGAGCTGCCAGTCTGAGATGGAGAGGCTTGGAGCAAGCCCTTCCCCTCCTTCCAGGTGTCAAGGGAATTGTCAAACTCACCTGTCCTGAAAATTTCAGAGTCACTATGTGACACTGATCTGCTGGCTTGACTCTCAGAAGAGTCTCTTCCTCATTCTGCAATAATTTCTTCCCCTTGCGAGGCTCCAATTAGACACTTCGTGTGTGTTGAGCGTTGATGTGTGGTAGATGGACAATAAAGATTAGTTTCTTTCAGGTTCTTCCTCGGTGGCCCCACCCTACCCCCCCACTGCCATGGGAGACCAGCAAAGATTGTCTCTTATTTTGAAGATATACTTGATCCCTTCATATATCACCCATCTAGCCACCTAACTAACAAATATTTGCCACCAACTATGCACTATGTGCTCGGTGCTAAGGATACAGAAATTGAAAGGCTAACATTTGTTCAGCATTCAGCACAGGCTTCTTAGTGTACTATTTCATTGACTGTAAAACTACACCATGCGTTAGGTATTAACTATTCTTTTTTTTTTTTTACAGAAGGGAAAACTGAGGCCTAAAGACACGGAGTGAGCCAGAATTCGAATGTGCAAGGACACCTGGAGGAGAGGGCGACCAGGCAAAGGCTTAGAGGAGTCTAATTTAGCCACCAGGTGTCAGGGGACAATGTACAAGCAGGGAAGGATGAACTACAGCCTGGAGTTGGCGGTGTGTGTGCGTGCATGTCTGTATGTGTGTGTGTGGGCGCGCACTGCAGGGGGCATGCTGTGCTGTGGAGGAAATTGTGTGTCATCTATTTAGCCAGAAGCTCTGTCTCTTGTTGCCCTCACCCTCCTCATCCACACTGCACACAGTAGGCGCTCGGTTCATGTCCCTGATGATTATCAGAGTGTGGTGATCTAAGTGTGCCAGGATAAGAAGGCAGGGTGTCGGGGAGAGTGTTTCCGGCAGGGAATGCAGTCTGGCACGGGTGCAGAAGTTTGTGAAGTTTAGAGAACAGAAGGTTCTGTGTGGTTGGAATATGAATTTGGGGGGTCAGGATTGAGAATGGATAACCATGGGAGCAGAGTATACAATAGCATGGCTGTTAGACCATGAAGGCATTCCTGGGCCCAGGGGGGTCTGTGTGAGAGAGACCCCCAGGCCCCTGCAGCATGATCATAGAGGCGTGGATGGACCCAGGTTGAGGGCTCCTGGGGTCATCCCCAGGCTGGGTGGGAAGCTACAGTCACACGGGACAGATCAGCCACCCCCAGCCTCACTTAGGTCTTGGCCCCTTCACACCTACACAGCCAGCCTGCCCCTGCTTAGGGCAAAATAAGCAAGATCTAGAAAGCTCCCGAGAGACAAAGGGTTTCAGATGGGCAGGACAATACCTTGATTCTATTTTACCTAGGAGAAGGCCTCTCCCATGGCCTGAGGCTCTGGAGGAGCCAAGGGAGCAACCAGGCTGGGCCTCATCCCTCAGGAACAACATTCACTACTTGTAAAATCTGCATCCAATTCAACTAACTCTCCGCATCAACCTGTGAGGTTGGCTCACAGCAGTGAAGTGACTTGTCCAGAGTCGCACAGCATGTGAGTAATTTTGAGAACCCAGATTCATTCCCAAGACTGCCCATGCCCTCCACTCAGCCCTCCATGCTCTGCGCTCCTTTGATGGAACAAGAACAAAACTCAGTGGTTCCCAAATTAGATGACCGCTATTTTCCTGTTATCCCTGGCTTCAAAGTCACAGGCTTTGGGGACCTTTGCTGATTCTTTTTTGAGGCTCAATGTTGGGGGCTATTCCATCATCAGAAGCCAGCTCCCCCTCCATGTTTAATTCATCTCAAAGTCAGTGTCCCGAGGCCAGTGGGAAGCCTCCTACTGTCACACTCCTAGTGAGAACTTGGCCTTTGCCTGGCAATCACAGCCAGGGCCCCACTCTGCCAAGCCTGATTCGATTCTCCAGTTTGCCCCACCCCTTCTTTGATTAGTGCTGGCTCCTGATGGACTATGACCAACTCATGCAGATACACGCTGTCCTTCTTCATTCCTCAGGACTTGGGTTCTTGCTGGAGACTCTCCAAGCACCCTTCCTTCTCCGTGGTAGGTCTCTGTATTATCTCGGGGGAAGTCATAACCAGGAAGCTCCTGCCTTGCACTTTGCTCATTGACCCTCCTGGAAAAGGCCAACAGAGAACAGCTGGAAATCTAGGGGAGAAGAGATGTGCCCAGTCTGCAGGTGCCAGCTTGTCCCCAGAAGTAGATGGCTGATAAGCTGGAGGTAAAGCTGGGGCTGGGGCACAGAGGTAGCTTTTAAGGAGTTCATCCCTAGACATGTGGGGTGGGCATTCAGAGGCTCCTGAGACAACTAGGGTTGAGCAGGCTAGGTCTGGAGCCCACTGGGGCACATCCCAAGCAGTTCAAGAAGGCAGGGATAGATGGGCTTGTTTTCAATTCCTGGTACCCAAAAATTGAATCCAGAGGCCCTTAACCACTGAGCCACGTCCCCAGCCCTTTTAAAAATATTTTATTTAGAGACAGGGTCTCCCTGAGTTGCTTAGCACCTTGCCGTTGCTGAGGCTGGCTTTGAACTTGTGATCCTTCTGCCTCAGCCTCCTGAGCTGCTGGGATTATAGGGAAGCGCTACTGCTCCCAGAGAGATGGATATTCTTGTACCAGGAATGATTTGTAAGATGTGGGACCGTCCAGCCTAGAGGACAGAAGACAAGGTGTAGGGAGAGTTAACAGGTCTTTGATTGAAGAAGAGGCCAGGGATGTGATCAAGGAGACAAAGAGAGGACCAGAAGGCAGCAGGGCTGGGAGGTCACACTGGGACTGTTTTCAAGAAAACCATTCTCCTGCAAAAGAGGTGCCCTCCTCCCAGGAGGCCTGACAGTAGGGAGAGGTGGAGGAGGGGGATGGGCATCTTGCTCACAGCTCTGAGAACCCTGGACCCCAGATCTGACTCCAGGTGCTGGACTGCACCCTCGTCTTTCACGGCCTCTCTCCCTGGCCCACAGTTTGTCTTATATATGTTCATATCCACCACCCCTCCCCCCACACCTGGCAAAGTGCTCAAACATCCCTACAAGATCCAGTCCTTGCTTTCCGCCTTGGCTCAGCCCTCACCACTTTTGCCTCTGACCCCGCAATAAGCCGGGCTCCACTGTTTTCACATCCTCCTCCGGACTCTGTGTATTCTAAACACACCAAGGAGCTTCTCTTAGGCATGTTGTCCCTGCTCCTCCTCCCCGCTTTATTGGTTCCATCTTGTTTATCTTTCAAGTCTCAGCCTAAGACTGAGCCTCTTTTGTGAACTCTCACTACAGCCTGAATTAGGGCCACTGCTTAGTGCTCTAGATGATCCCTTCACACCTGTCCCTGCACGTAACACACTGCATTGCATTCTCCTGATCACCTGCCTGGATCCCCCTCTAGACCATAAGCTCCATCAGGGCAGCGACTGTCTGTCTGGCCCTGAGGTGGAGCTGGTACCCAGCAAATATATGTTGAAAGAATGAATGGGCAAATGGAGGGGTAGATGGGTGGATGGAATGCCCATAAGAGAATTGATAAAGATCACACCAGAGAGCCTGCCCCACCGACTAGCATGGTCTGGTCCCTGCAGTTCCAGTTAAGATATACGTGGGGGCTGGGGATGTGGCTCAAGCGGTAGCGTGCTTGCCTGGCATGCGTGCGGCCCTGGTTCGATCCTCAGCACCACATACAAAAAAACAAAGATGTTGTGTCCGCCGATAACTAAAAAATAAAATACTAAAAATTCTCTCTCTCCCTCTCTCACTCTCTCTTTAAAAAAAAAAAAAAAAGATATACGTGGGCTGTTGCTCAGATAACAAGGTGAAGAAGTGAATGGGTTTTTACCACCATCAAGATGACAATGAGAAGCCTCTTCTCCTAAGTCTCTATGCCCAGCTCTTTTTAAAAATTGCAGTAAAGATGGACACAGTGGAGCACACCTGTGACTCCGGAGGCTGAAGCAGGAAGATTGAAAGTTTGAGGCCAGCCTCAGCAACTTAGTAAAACTCTCAGCAACATAATAAATAAAAAAAAAAATAAGATAAAAAGGGTTGCTGGGCTGGGGATGTGGCTCAAGCGGTAGCGCGCTCGCCTGGCATGCATGCGGCCCGGGTTCGATCCTCAGCACCACATACAAACAAAGATGTTGTGTCCGCCGAAAATTAAAAAAAATAAATATTAAAAAAAAAATTCTCTCTCTCTGTCTCTCTCTCTCTCTCTTAAAAAAAAAAAAGATAAAAAGGGTTGGGATATAGTTCAGTAGTAGAGCACCTGTATTCAGTCTCCAGTACCCTCCCAAAAGTAACAAAAATACACATAAGAGAACTGTACACATCTTAACCATTTTATGTGTACAATTCAATGCTATAAAGTATATTCACTGTTGTTCAATCAACTGCAAAACTTTTTCATCTTGCAAAACTGGAACTCCATACCTATTTACCAGCTCCTTATTTCTCTCTCCCCTAGCCCCTGGCAACTACTTCTACT